CTGTGACTCATGTCACTGGAACTCCAGTCTGACATACCGCACGAAGCTCTAGCAGTGAGCACAGCTAAGAAAATGGCCTAAAACCTCTCCCTGAGCCTTAACACTTTGTTGGTATTTGCAACTGAGCTGTGTCAGCCTGCAAAAGCAACAGTCACATAGCAATTCTCTAACTTAACCTCTCTCTTATTTTAAGTGAAACAGACCCACCAAGCTTCAGACCTGGTTTCTCTCTGATTAGCCTCTCTCATTTCTGAAGACTAACCACCTTCAAAAGTTCCTGTTCTACCTTCCAGGACTGTCCCCTGTGAGCAGCCTGTTACACCAGAGGGGGAAGGGACAGTTGCATATTTCTGGACTGCAGTTTCTTCATCTTACATTTGTGCTGCTGCCAAGTAAAATAATAGGAAACTTGTATCAGGAAGGTCAGAGGCACAGAGCCAGTGTGTTCTTGAGGAACTGGAGTGCATCAGATCTATTCCAGTCTCTCAGCCTGACTCACTACATGTTTGGCCTTCGGCATAAGTGCTCAGAAGGTCAGTCTTTTCAGAAGCATGCTGCACCTGAGGCACTGTGAGGCTGACTGTCAAAGATTCAGAGCAGCCACAGCTCCCACTGAGGTAAAAAACAGAGGTGTACACACAACTACAGACTTCTGAAAACATGACTGTGAACTTGTGTGGTCTGCCATTCGTAAGTGAGGGCAGCCATGTTTATGTATTTCTTAAGGGTCTGTGTACATTAACTGATGGTTATAGAGTTCTTTAATATTTTAAAGAGCTCTCTAATTTCTGGGCATTTTTATTATCAGGGTGGTAGATCATGAAAACTAAAGGATGTATTCATAAGAATATTTGGGTCTTAGAAAGGCCTGTTCATCAGCCAATCACAAAGTGCCTGCGAAAGTTTACAGATAGGGAAACTGAGGCGGGGATAGTGACTTGCTCGAGGTCACAGCAGGTAGGTGGCAGAGCCAGGAACCAAACCCACAACACACAACTCAGGATTCAGTGCCTTAGCTGCCAAAGCAAACATAATCCCTTGAAGGTTACTAGGAATTAAAGTAAATGTCTTAAGGGGAAAAAAGCGTCTTAAATAATGCATTGTGGCACACTTGTACTTTGTGTATTATTTATCTTGTTAAATCTCTGTTAATTGACAGAAAGGACAGTTGAATGGCTGTTATGACAGTTGTCTTTTGGGTTGCCAGTCATGTTATTTCCTACAGATATGCAGCTAATAACATGCACATGTCTCAGCTGAGGAAGAGATCTGTTTTACATGGACAGAAATGTTTCCTTGTACCCAAATTAGATTTTTACATGAATTTACATACTCACCCACAGCCTGCCTTGTGTTGCTCCATGCCTGAGTTACATGCCATATTTACTTTGGTTAGCAGGCATATCATATGCACATGACAGGCAGAATGTGCTTTCATGCCAGATTGCCAACTCGAAGCAAGAATTCACAAAGTAAATCTAACTGTGCTGGTAACTTTGTGCAGTGAATTGGGCTTTCACTAGGAATTACTGTAAGCTGTTATGACTAATCTTGGACACAGTGCATTTGCTGATCTACTTTTCAGGGTTCAAGTTTTCTTCCCTAATACTAAAATCTTATAAAGCACTATTTTCTGCTATGTTTCTCAGTGTTCTTAGCCTACCACAATGCATGCAAACAAGTATCTTTAAATTCATAAAGCTTTTAACTAAAAATAATTAAAATATCAAACATAAATTAGATATTTAGTCCTCTTTAGCCATTGTTTTAAGCACTGAATCTTCTCCCAAGATTTTGCAAAGTTCATTCAGTCTCTGCTGCATTTCAGGAATTCCTGCAAGCTGGGATTCGAGTCTTTGTTTTTCCTCACTGAGTGATAAGCGGATAGCAGTGTCCAATTGTTCAAAACGCCAGCCCCCTTCTCCATTGAATTGCAACAAGTGAGTGTGGTACTTCCTGCAGAAGAATTTAAAATATTAGTAATGAAGTTTGGGACATCTTTGAAAGTAAGATTTGAGATTCCTGGGTGCTAAGTGCTTTAAGGGTGACTTTGAACAAAGCATTTCTGTATAAAATGTTTTCACAGTGCAATACAACTACGGTTGGGAATGTGCTGTTTTTCAAGTCACTGGGTAAAGCTTTTAAAAGCGAATATACGTGACTTAGAAGCCCAAGTCCCAATTTCAAAGAGAGATTTCTTGGTAACCTAAGTCTCATTCAAAATGCAGGACAATGTAGCACTTTAAAGACTAACAAGATGGTTTATTAGATGATGAGCTTTTGTGGGCCAGACCCACTTGATCTGAGGAAGTGGGTCTGGCCCACAAAAGCTCATCATCTAATAAACCATCTTGTAAGTCTGTAAAGTGCTACTGTCCTGCATTTTGCTTCAGCTACCCCAGACTAACACGGCTACATCTCTATCACTAAGTCTCATTGAGATTCAACAGTTGCTGGCTAGCAGTCTATGTAGACACACCAGTGTAAACAAAGACAAACAGCAATTTGTAGCAAACGAACCCCACACCAGTCTTCTCCATAAGCCCTTCTGTGGCCATTTAGGAGAGATTCAGGTGCCACTCAGATGAGTAGCAGAGCGCCCACCACTAGGTTTTTTGTTTCTATTGGTGGTGCACATTTGCACATAATTTATTCTGCACATGAATGGGAAAAAATCCACACATGGATGGAAATAATTAAAAGGAACATTTCCCTCCCCCCATCCTCTCAGAATTCCCTGCTGAGGTGGTGCTGGCTGGAGGACTCAGCTGGGTTATCAGTGGTACCATCCAATGTTTTCTCACTCTCTTGTAGGCTAGACAACCCTTCCCCTTTAACTAGATACTTGCTTTTTTTCGAGTGGTTTTAAAATATTTTTGATAAGTAGTATTTTTTATGTTTAAATGTAATCTAATCTCTTAAAATAAGTAGAATATTAAGAGGTGAGCTTGCAGGTGGCAAACATCTCTGTTTCCAAATTTCCTGTCACTTGAATTTTTTCATAGCTTAGGCCCTGATCCTACATGTGCTTTCCTTTCTACTCTGTGACTCATCTATCAGTGACAAATAGCAAGATGGTGGAAGTATTCATTTTCTCAGGGAAGCTATGGGACTAGGAGAGTGATACAGCACATTTCAACTGTGAGGTCAAGTTGGTACAAGGCCTTTTGTCACCGGATAAAAAAGAAAGCAGTACAGAAAACTTAGATTTTAGAACTTAGTAACAACAAATTTGTGCTTTTTTGCTTTCTTTGCACTGAACATTTATAGATATCAGGGCTTAACAAATGTCAGTGAAACCTACTCGCCAGCTCCACACTGCGCATGCGCAAGACCCGCATTGAACATGCATGCACCGCCAGTGAACAGGACAACTGGCTGAAATCTACTCACCACGGGTGAGTAGAGTCAGTGATTTGTTGAGCCCTGGATATCAACTACTCAATGGGATCCATAAACATATTTTCTATGATGGAATCTCTCATAGTTGCTATGGCCTAATATAGAAAAATCTTTCACTCTCCAAATATTTTGCTTTGTATAAGCAATCTGATTTCTAAATATGAAATATAGCTTTTCTGCTTGGGGATGCACTGAGAGGTAAAGGACACTGCAGAATTAACAATGCCTAACTGATGTAAAAAATAATGGGTCTGTTCTTCTTTGTGAAAGACAAAGGAGGAGATTATCCTGGTGACATTTTGGTCATCATCTTAAGCAATGGACAGCCTGAGTGAGAAGTAACCATTGTATTTGTCTTTTTCCTTTGTGTTTACAGAATAATATGGTGATATTTCCAGTGACATGATGTATTAATTAACTGGCTCTTTAGCTACCTGCATGTTGCTATATTTGAATGTTTCACTTTTAATATTTTAAAAAAAGAAATAAATAGATGTACAAAAAGGGAGAAGTCAATACTAAATGCATTTACATGTCTATTATTATAGTCGACTTGTCTTAAAAGGAGTGTAGATATTGATTTAAAAATGTATTGACGCACAGAAGGAAAACGAGTCTGTCATCTGCTAGAAAACTAGACATCACCTCCACGATGTAAGTACTTGGACATACTCACCAAAGAGAAGGTCTGTGTGTGATAGAAAGCAAGGATATCCCAGAACCTTTTGCAGCTTGGAATATTTTCCCTTCAACATCAATGCTTACAGCACTCGTACATTCATCCAACAATGCATATTTTGGTCTTTCAAAACAAAAGACGATGTGTTACTCATTTAGTTTTTACCCAACATTCCTGTACACTATGTGCACGATGCTTAGTTTAAAGCTGGTCTTCACAGACCACTGAGACTCCTCTAGTGCTATAAACTGGTATGCAGCAGCACTATGGCCCCAGTCCTCAAGTCCGCGAAACCACTTTGAGAAAAATGCTAACTGGCTGAGCTGGTTTGTTTATTTACTGGCACTGTGGCCATGGAGCCTTGCCGCTCCCATTGGCTCCAGTTCACTGTTTGTAGCCAAGGGAGCTGTGGGAAGCAACAGCCTGACTCATGCAGCTCCCTTTGGCTGCAAACTGTGAACCAGAGCCAATGGGAGCCACAGAGCTCTGTGGGATGCGCTTACTTAGGCAGCTCCCAGCCAGCAGCTCTGCAGACCTCTTGCCTGGGTTCTGGGTGGACTGCTCCACATAGCTCTGCTTCAGCACAGGGAGGGAGGGAAGAGGTTTCATTCGCTACCCCTGCCTTCAGCAAAATTTCTCAGCTCCTGTTGGCTGGAAACTGGCCAATCAGAGGTTGGAGATTTTGCTAGGGGGCTGGGACACTGCATGAAGCTTTCTCCTCCCTGCCCAGCTTGCAGAGCAATTAGCAGCCTGCTTTTTAAAGTGGCTGCCCCTGCTCTGTATCAAGGGTGCGGCTGAGGAGGCCATGGGCCAGATTTGACCCACTAGCTGCCTCTTGCCCACCCCTACCCTAGTGGATTATAAAAGTGTTTCTCAAAGTGGTCTGCGAAACCACTTTGAGAAACATGCTAACCAACCGTGCCAGTTTGTTTACTTATTGGCACCACGGCCACAGAGCTCTCCCCAACTACGTGCCCCAGGCCACCACCCAAACCTTCTGTATCCCCTCTTCCTACCTCCTCCAGGTCAAAACTCCCTCCCAGACCTGCACCCCCTCCTATACCCCTTCCCCAGGCCAGAATCCTTTCCTGCACTTATACCCCTCCCTGACCCTGCACCTCATTCCCCTGCCCTACATCACCACCCAAACCCTCTGCAACCCCTTCTTCCAGGTCACAACTCCCTGCCAGACCCTGCACCTCTTCCTACCACCCTCCCCAGGCCAGAATGCTCTTCTTTAACCCATAACCCCTCCTCAACCCTACCCCAGATTATAAATCCCCTCCTTCATGCAAACTCCCTCTCAGACCCCACACTCCCTCCTGCAACCTTGTCCCAAGCTCCCTTCTATACCCCACCTGCTGTCCCAGACCCCTCTCTGCAGAAATGCGGCCCTTCACCACTTACCAAAATCTTGGAGTGGCCCCCCATTAAAAATTATTGCCCACCCATGCACTAGTACATGGGGGTAAAAGGTTTACTCAGTATGCAGCAGATTAGTGGGATAGCTCAGTGGTTTGAGCATTGGCCTGCTAAACCCAGGGTTGCGAGTTCAATCCTTGCAGAGGCCATTTGGGGCAAAAATTTGTCAGGGATGGTACTTGGTCCTGCTGTGAAGGCAGGGGACTCAACTCAATGACCATTCAAGGTCCCTTCCAGTTCTAAGAGATAGGCAATCTCCATTAATTTAATTTATTATTATTTGAAGCTCCAAAGTACTAATAAAAAAACATTTAAAAAGCTTATCCTGTGAGTCCAGCTTGGTGGATCAGTGATAATGCACAACACTGCCATTCAAGAGATCCCAGATCACACTCTCTAACTCCCCAGGCCACAACAGAAGAATACAGCACCTGAGGGAAGGGAATGCATTGTGCTGCTTAAAGACAGCCACTCCGGCTGACAAAGGAGTACAGTGTGCAGCTACTGAAAGTTGGCTGATGTTAAATTACAGTGGTGAGGCTTCTTTAATACCCTAGAACTATTACACTACTGCCTCTGGACTGGAACGGATCAGTTATTATAGAACAATATGATTAGATGTAGAGATGAACATGATTTGTTGGGGGAAGAGTCAATGTGGCTTTTGTAAAGGGAAATCATGCCTCACCAATCTATTAGAATTCTTTGACGAGATCAACAAACATGTGACGAGGATGATCCAGCTAATACAGGATCAAAGGCTCTTAAGCAAAGTAAACAGAGGGAAGATTCTCTGATGGATCTGTAACTGGGCTTAAAAGATAGGAAACAAAGGGTAGGAATAAACTGTCAATTTTCACGATGGAAAAAGGTAAATAGTGAGGTAACCTCAAAGATTTATACTGGGACCTGTGCTGTTCAACATAGATATAAATTATCTGAAAAAGAAGATAAACAGTGAGCTGGCAAAATTTGCAGATAACAACTATCTTGAGTAATTTTGTACGTCCAAACCAGCCTGTGAAGAGTTCTCACAAAGCTGGATGACTGGGTGACAAAACAGCAGTTAGAATTCAATGTTGATATATGCAAAGTAATGCACACTTGGAAAAATAATATAAACTAAACATAAAAAAGGATGCAGTCTAAATAAACTGTTGCCACTCAGAGATTTTGGCATCATCATGGATAGTGTTCTGAAAACATCTTCTTAATGTGCAATGGCACTCAAAAAATGAATAGACTTTTAAGAACCATTAGTAAAGGCACTGACAAGACAACAGTAAATATCACAATGCCACCGAAAAATGCAGGGTAAACCCATACCTTCAATACTGCATGCAGTTTTGGTCAAACCATCTTAAAAAAGATACTATAATTGGGAAAGATTCAGAGAAGAGCAACCAAAATAACTAGGGGTATTGAACAACTTCCATATGAGGAGAGATTTAAAAACGGGTATTGTTCAGATTAGAAAAGAGAGGACAAAGGGGGGATATGAGAGTGGTCTATAAAATCATGAATGGCACGGGGAAAGTGAACAGGAAAGCATTAGTTATCCATTCACAAAAGAGAAAGGGGGGGAGTCACCTGATTAAATTAGCAGGCAGCACTTTAAAACAAACAAAAGGAAAGTCTTTTCCATACAATACACAATCAGCCTGTGGAACCATGGATTGTTTTGAAGGTCAAAAGTATAATTGAGTTAAAAAAAGAATTAGATAAATTCATGGAGGATTGGTCCATCTTGGCTAATAGCAACCCCATGTCCTGGGTGTCCCAGAAATTTCAGCTGCCAAAGGGTGGGATTGGATGAGAAGGAATGAATCATTTGGAACTGTGTGTTGTGTTCATTCCCTTTGAAGTATCTAATACTGGCCATCATCAGAGAGGGGACTGGACTAGATGGACCACTTATCCAATCTAGTATAGCACTGTTATGTTCTTATTAGATAAATAACTAGCAGGGAATCTAGATTTGACTCCCAGGTTGGGACTGTTACTTGATTAATGTGTGTACAGCACCTAGCACAATGGGGCCCAGACCTTCTAGGCACAACTACATTATAAGTGTTCAATGGCTTTTGCTTCCTGATCTTGCTTGGTGTGTGGCTGTAGAGCTTTTGGGTGCAGGGCTGACTTTATATTACCCAGTAGTGTTATAACAAGAACTAACTAAAGAGCAACTCAAAATGCTTCTATCCCTTCAGATGCAGCATGTGTTGTCTTTTGCCATTTGCAGCCTGAGGTGGTTTAAGAGAAAAGGACCAAAGGATAGGTCTTAAACTCACATCCCCCATATGACAATATTTCCCATGATATTTCTAGTTTGGATGTAATCGTGCAGTCAATTAGCATTAACGGATAACCAATTATCTGATAAGCATAAGCTTATCGACAACATACATTTTCTCCCCCTCTCTTCCATCAGTAAATTTTTTTTAGAGGGCTGGCCAGCAGCCTGGCTCAGTCCCAGCTGGCAGTGGGTTCCAAGAGTTACCCCCACTGCAGCTCTGCTTTCAAAGTATTTTAGCAGCCGGGTGTGCAGGCAGCCCAGCTTAGTCCTGGCTTGTGCCAGGTACTATGTATTTAAAGCTGTAGCAGGGGCAGCTCCTGGACCCAGCGCAAGCCGGGACTGAGTGCTTGCAATGCTATCCCTTATTGATTAATCGTGGAGTCAACAAAATTTTTGTTGACTACACCATTAATGAATTACAAGCTTCTTAACATCCCTAATTTCTAGGACTGCCCTTATATGGTGATTTAAGGAAAGTAATATCTGGAAAATGCAATGATTTGTCACTAAAAGCAAAGTAGAAACTAGACATACCACCCAAATTAAAATGCTGATCTTACACACATACTTCCTATAAACAACAAAGTCTCTTTTTCCTATGCAACTGCCTACCAGTTGGGAGTATACCATGGGGTATAAATCATTGCTCAAAATATTATTGCAAGCCTCCAAAGAATGGCTGCCTGAAGAGCAAGTAAATACACTTACTTATGATAAAACATGCGAGCCATGCCCATCCTCTGCTTTTCACCTCCTGACAAGACATCTTTCCAGTCCATCACAGCATCCCAGCCTTCAAAAAGATACAAATAAGACAGAAAAACACAAGATTAAAAACAGGTAACTATACAAAATTAAGTCCCTTTTGATTTAAAGCAGAAAGAAAATTCACAGTGGTGAGAGAAAGAAGGTAGATCAAGTCACTAGGTAAAGTTTTCGAAAGTGCCTAAAATACTTCTCAGCCTAAATCCCATAGAGTCTCAACTGAAGTATCAGATGGGTAGCCATGTTAGTCTGAATCTGCAAGAACAAAGAGAAGTCCTGTGGCACCTTACAGACTAACAGATTTTTTGGAGCATAAGCTTTCATGGGCAAAGACTCACTTAGATGCATGTTTCAACTGAAGTAGGCGCCTAAATCCCACATAATTTTTGAAAATGGATTTGGCTACTAAGTCTCTTATGCACCTTTGAAATATTTACACATCACCTCTTTAACAAATATATTATTTTAGTTCTGTAAATGTTCTGGTTTTTTCCCTGGCTTATCTATCCCATCAGAGAGTTTGTAACATTTTCTTAAAAGTTAAACAGACTTTTTTAAAAAAAAATCAACCTACAGGATAAAGAGAAAAGGAAATTTAAGAAAATAAATGAGAATGGAGTCAAAATATGAAGCCATCAGAGTGACCCCCTTGTAACAACAATTGATGTCCACTCAGATTTTTGGTGACCCAGTTAGAAATGTTATCACATGCACATATCTCCACAATTGTGAATGCAGACTGTATGCACAAATGGGCGGCTAATACATACTGAGTAACTATGCAGCATTTGCATGCATACCTGCATGTATTTTGCATGAAACCTCTCCATCCCTTTAATTAAAACCTGACTCACAACTTATAAAAAATGTGACACTTTCTATAGTTAGATTTTCTCTTAAATCTTTCATTTAAGATCTTTTTCTCATAAAAAAAATATGTAAAACTAAAACAACAAACTATATCAATGCATTTTATTTGTTTTTTTTATTATTGTGGAGTTTGTCAGCATTATGGCATACTCCTGACATTATAAATAAGATTTTAATAAAATTAAGCTAGAGAGAACCATGCAAAATGAGAAATTATTTTTAAAAGGGAGAAAGTGAATCTAGAGGATTTTCTCCCAATCAATCATTTACAGAGGAGAGAGACAGACAGTCTGACAAGTGGGAGAGGAGGTGGAAGAGGAGGAAGATAACATGACCTATGAAGCCAGGCTTCATGAACTGGGCTTGTTTAGTTTGGAAAAAAGAAGATTAAGGGGGGACATGATAGCGGTTTTCAAATATCTAAAAGGGTGACACAAGGAGGAAGGAGAAAATTTGTTCCTCTTGGTTTCTGAGGACAGGACAAGGAGTAATGGGCTTAAAGTGCAGCAGGGGAGGTTTAGATTGGACATTAGGAAAAAATTCCTAACTGTCAGGGTGGTCAAATATTGGAATAAATTGCCAAGGGAGGTGGTGGAATCTCCCTCTCTGGAGATATTTAAGAACAGGTTAGATAGACATCTGTCAGGGATGGTGTAGACGGAGCTTGGTCCTGCCTTGAGTGCGGGGGGCTGGACTCGATGACCTCTTGAGGTCCCTTCCAGTCCTATGATTCTATGATTCTATATTTCCAGATCAACTCAAAGCACTGTAACTAGAGGAATAAAGAGACCAACAAAGACCTTTTGCTGCTTCTGCTGCCTGTGTCCAAAACAAACAGTCACCTGATAAGACCATTAACAAGGTTGAACAAGCAAGTTAGGCTGTGTCATTTATGGCTTTGGGCTATGGATGGGGAAGTACAAGCAAGATTCTGCAAGGATGCTGTAGGCTTTTGGGTATAGAATTGCTGGAATTGTGCCGGGGCCCACCAGGGCTGTGCCTTTATAAGAAGACTTTTATATACAGACTTTTTAAGAAGCCCTAGTAAGTCTTCTGATGGAGAATAAAAATGGGAATCAGTAATTCTTGCACGTGAATTTGTAGAATTTTCTGTCTATCAGATTGTAAAATATATAGTAACACAGTGACATTATTCATATATGTACATGTGTGTAAATGACAGATATACAACTTTTTCAATCCCAAGATCTACTGTTCCTTAGAAATATATCTGACTCAAATCTGGAGGAGCTAACTGGCTGTCAATATTTTGGATGTAAATTGCTTCCTATCGGCTGATTTCCTATTAAGGAAGTTGCTTTATTGTCTCGCGTTACCATTGAGGTGAATGCTGCCATTGGTGATAACTGCAGGAAGGGCTCTTTGTGACTGGATGTGCCAGGTGCCATGTCCCAGCACAGCACAGAGATGGAGTGCTCTGCTGCAGACTCACCCTAGCAGACAGAAACCATGGGTCTAGTGAGTTCCAACCAAGGGAGGGGACAGACACTTTGGTGTCTCTTTAAGACAAAAGGAACCGGGGAAAGGACAGAGTAGTAGCCATGTGAACAACTGCATTGAAGAAGTAGCTTAAACTGTTGTTTATATTCTCTCTTTTTATGTTAAGAAGAAAGGAAACGCCGGGAATGTAGTGGGATAGATGCTCTCAATCTGAAGGGGTCTGTGTGTGTGCATATACAGAGTGGGAGCTGTGCCCACCGACAGTCTAACCCAGATACGATGTAAGAGTTATGGAAGGAGGTTTTTAGAAAATGGGGGGGAACATGACCCGTTTAGTAAACTCCTCCTCTGGTCCTGAAGTGGGCCTCCATTTATCAGGGCAAAATGCCCAGGTTTGTGGGATTTTAAATGAAGTTAGAGACATTTCACCATTAAAAAGTTGGCTTAAGTCACATGACAGAATATATGTAACAAAGCTATCAAGCAAAAAATCCCAACCAAGCCAAACCCTCAGAATGGCACACATTTAACAGCCAGGGCAACATAAGTAGAAGGTCATGTCTAAATTACTGTAAATATGATTGCAACACCAATTCACTTCCTTGCATGGGATCCTGGATCATCATCTCATGCTTTCAAAAACATAAAGACGATATTTGTTCTGGGAATATTTGGGAATGTAATAAAGTAATCCCATGAGTCCTATCTATATAGCTAGGGTGTCCATTTAGCTGCTGCAAAAGGGTCAGTAGATAGTTACATATTCTTTTAAACCCTGAAAAATGGGCAAATTGGAATAGAGAGCTCCTGAGGGTCAGTGGTGGTGCAGCTTCATTGATCTAAAATTATTAGACTGATAATTTCTTGGAGCATAGGCTGTTATCTGTGTGGCCGTATAGTACTGAGGCCAGAGGGAACCAAGTCCTGACAAGGCTCTTGGAGCGACTGCAATGTAAAATGAAAATAAATAAGAAGCCAGGATGCTGCAAAGCCATGAACTAGTTCCATTTGCTTAGTACTTCACCAGTCTCTGAACCACAAAACTGAACATGTACTAAGCAGATTACAACAGATGTCCGAGGCTTTTATAATGTAACAAATTGATCAGTGAGTCTCAGGCTGCAGTGCTATTGACGATTGCTAAATATGTACACATTTTGACTCAGGGTGGGGAATTAAAGCTCTACAGACCCATATTTACTTTTTTTTACACTAGATTACTGGCTGTCTCTTTCAGCATCAGATGTTGAATATGGCTTTATTTATTATTTCTAATATATATTATGTTTATTAATTTATTGTGAAATTATTGAACAGCTTCCTGAACACCTTCACAGCATTGTGGTGTGGACTTTATAAATAAACACAATATTAGGTTCCCTCAGCTGAGTAGACGCTGTATCAGTCATTGTCCTTTCTGTGCATCTGGGATCATATCCAGTGGTGGTATAAATTAACTGGCTGTACACTGGTTAGAAAACAAGGGTAAGTGCCAGTCATCTGATACGTGAGGCAAACCTGCAGCCAGACCAGGGCAGTGCACTCAGCTGTCCTGACTCACTTCTCCACTGTACCCTGTAGTGACTTAATGCTCAGTGTGCTGGAGCAACCTATCTCCAAGCAAGACCTATGTCAGATGGCTCCCCGGGGACAGGTGTTTCACTGACCCTGTGACAGGAAGTGAAGATTGTATATGTTCTGTTCACTTATGTTGTATGCAATTTCTACTGTCATGTGCTGCTCTGTTGTAACACTGTGTGTGCCTCAGATTCCCTGGGCACTGCACCCATGCCCACCTGGGGATGGGAGTTTTGGGTGTGACTGTCACTGAGGGGGTGGCTGCCCCAGCCCAGCACATACTCGATAGCTCAGGCTCTCTTCTAACCTGAGTGTAGAGAGTGGGGGAGGGATGCAACCAGAAAACTCCTTTTGCCAGGGAAGGGGACAGAGGAGGAGGCAGAGCTGCATGCAGGCTGGAACCGGTTGCTGGGTGTGTGAGTTAGCCTCAGCTCGCTTAGGATGTAAGGAGGATGCCCAGGGCACTGGCTCTGGGCCCCGCTCTCACCAAGATGGATTGTACTTGGATGGACTGGCTGCTCCTGGTTCCTGTGCTAACAAGTCTGTGCTACACTGTATCCCTGTGAACAAATAAACTTTCTGTTCTATCTGCTGGCTGAGTGTCACATCTGGCTGCAGATGGGGGTGCAGGACCTAGTGACTCCCCACTCCTCTGTGACACCCTGACAGAGCTGCAAGTCAGTCTGTGCAACAGCATTTCCTGGTCAGGAACCCTTCTGCTGCTTTGCAGTATGACTAGGGCCCTACCAAATTCATAGTACACTGTAAACACCTTACTGTTGTGGTTTATTACAACAATTTGTAACCCCACTAACTCTCACCCCACAATTTTTATTAATGGGCCACCATTTGAGTAGTCCCACAGAATAGGCACTATTCTATACATGTGTTTAGATATAGAAGAGCAAGTAATTCATAGGCTACTGGTGCATCTCTCAGGTAGTTGAAAGCATTTTGCTTTGCCATAAACTTTAAGAAAACATTGACAGCCTAGGAACACACACCATGTTTGATATGAAATGTCTTTTTCTTTTTAAAAAGATTTCTAGAACTATTTGGAGAAGAGTCTGTAACATATCCTTCCACTATGAAAAATAGTTCATAATGGAAAGATAGTATAAAAAAAGCAGGGGAAAAACATATCCAACCTTCCTGTTAAACTCTGACTATATAATGCATTTTGTTTTGGGTCTATTTTGACATTACTTCCTCCGCACCCAATCTCCAGGGTCCATTCGGCTGCTGCTCATAACAGTCACAGCTTAGTGCTTTCATTGCTGCAGTTATTGGAAGAGAAGCTGAACTGAAACTATTAATAGTTCTATTTTTAATTCTCAATTTATTTTATTGTCTTCTTTGACTTTTCTGCATCTAACTCCGGCTAACAGGTTTAGTCTTCTGGTAAATGTTTCATGCTGTTATATTAACAGATGTGAGTGCTGAATGTGAATAGGAATGAAAGCACATTTAATTTACTTTGATTTTATTTTCAAATATTTATCTGAACAGGGAAATGTCCCAATAACCAGAAAGGGCAGAACCAGCATGGCTTTTATGTCACTAAGTCATGCAACCAATTAAATTCTTCACGGGGGATGTTACACCTAGATAAGAATAGAATGCAAGATTGTGGAATGAGAAAAATGGGATAGATAGTGTACAGACTATACACAGGGACAAAAGTGATTACTAACTCAGGAACACGTACTATCCATTCTCCATTGTACCACAAAAAATCACTAATATGACATGGCTTTTGGAAAGTAACCAACAGCCAGTTTTTTTCAGAGTACTTGACTCCCATGCCACTGGAATTCAACACTACCCTAGAGTTTCCTACTGCCTGAGCCACTGGGGATGAACTACGCTATGAGAATGTTACAGTTGGTCTCCATGAGAATGAATCACTGCACCTAAAGTATCGTCCTCCTAAAGGAGCACAACCTACAGCTGCACAGCTTGCTGGACAACAACTTTCTCCTGGGTATGCTGCTTTTTAAAATGCTAATAGCTCTGTCACTATTCAATTAGTGAAGCATATGGCAAAGGGAATCAGTTAAGTGACTGATGGGACCACAACTGTGAAAATAATCTACAGGAAAACACAACAGATGTCAAAAAATATTCTGACATCAGTGCTCCAGCCCCTTAGATACAAGAGGAGACATTAATATCTTGACATTTACTGAGCAAAGGTATTTACAGTGTCCTCTATTCTTAGAATGAGGAATACTGAGAACACCATGGTAACCTACGCGGCAAGTAGAAAACATGATGGATCTAAGGGCACTCACTGTAGTTTAGTTATTTCCAAGTAGTAGAGTCTGGGGATGCTTGTAGAAACTACTACTTAAAATGTGCCTGCTTTGGTCAAAGCCTTATAGGAGGAGTGACTGATAGTTGACAATGAATCTGATTCTCCTCTTGCATTTTAGGGAATCAATGGAGCTGCAATGTTGTAAGATAGGAGTGAGAAGGAGAATTGGGCCCAATATTTTCATAATAGTTCACTAACATCTATGCCTATGAGATGGTCAATTATTTACTAAAATACAGGATTTACCTCCTTCTCTTTGAACTATGTGATACAGATGAACAACGTGTAGGATGCATTCTAGATCCTGGTCTTGGTATCCTTTTTCATGCATGTCATCCACTGAGTCTGGATAAATGACTTGATCACGTAGTGTTCCAATGGACATGTAGGGCCTGTAAAACAACAAAATGAAACTAGTTAATCTATACTAAGTCACTTTTCTGTCCTGTTATTTAGTGCATCTTGCTGCTGCTTTATGAGGAGGGTATAATGCTTTAAATACTGTTTCTAAAACTGTAATTATCTGTGGATACACAGTGGGTGTATGTTTCTCTAAACTCACTCTGGGGACAATGCACTGTTTACATAAAACTGATTATAGTGCAGCAACATGCATAACATTATCATGAAAACAACATGAGAGTTAAAGCAGAATAAACGTTATCTCATGTCCCAGTCTGAATCCACTTTTTGGAAAACAAAAACCAGATGCTGCATATTGTTTTGCATATATTTTAATTTTAGATTTTAAAATTTTAATTCAACATACATACACCAAAACAAAACTGCCAAAAACTTAATGCAGGTGAGAGTCTGTGCTGCACCTCTTACAAGTGAAACAGAGAATTAACAGGCCAGAGGGAAAGGAGCGGGGGTCATGCTTTCACCCTCGCAGTCCTGAGCTGCTTTGGGGGAGGAGGGGCAGTAGCCCCAGGTAAGCGTAACAGATTCTTCCTAAAAGTCCACAAGGCCCTGCCTCTGTCCCTTTTCCTCCCCCTAAGATCCTGTCCCTGGCCAAGCCCCCAGGTCACCCTCCCAGGGTAGGTGAAGGGCCTGTGGCTCCCCACAGCAGCTACTGCAGCTCTTACTCCACCCAGCTTGGCTTGGGGGCAGGCCTCAGGAGACAAAGAGCTGCAGCCAGGCCATGGCAAGAACCATCTGGGCAGCTGTGGAGAGCCACAGATCCTCCATCTTCCCTGCACAGGTGACATGGGGGCTGGGGACACAAACCAGGGCTGCCTTTGGGTATCCCCACCCTAGGCAGGTGTAGTGTCAGCTCTTCATAGCTGGCCAAGCTCCCCAACGTTCCTCTTACCTGTCCAGGCTCCAGCTTCTGGCCTAGCTGGAGGGGAGAGGGCAGGACAGATGGTGAAAAGTGAATGGACCAGGCCCATCCATATTCAAAAGTGGGAGGGCCATAGTCATCATTCCCTGTAAGCTGCACGCTTGTGCAGCCACTCAGGAGAGTTTCAAATGCTGCCCAGCTGATTAGCAAAGTGCCCACAGCTAGGTTTTGTGTTTCTACCGGTGGTGCCTATTCATACATGCCTCAGTGCACAAAAAATTATTCCACACATGGATGGAAAAGATTAGAGGAAACATTGGCCATGACTCCTTCCGCCCCCTAACCTTAGGTATAACTCAGACAGCTTTAGATGCCTGCGCATACCTGACTCTTTGGAGTAGCTATGGGGCAGGCAGGACCACCTGCTGCTCAGAATTTCTGCAATCTACAGTTGCCAAGTGCCAACCATCCCAGACTGGCCAGGAGTCTACCGGAATTGGCATCGATCTCCTGGTGGCTACTTGAAAGCAACCCAGGAGATTTTAATAGGATACTCTAAGAAAATAAATGAATATAACGAACACACAATTCCTATGAAGTTCATTTATTGTTCAAACATAACAGCTGTCATCTGATTGTGTTTTTCTTTTTCCTTGCCAGCATACTGACTTAACATAAACTGGTAGTACTACTATGACCAACGTGTATGTACGCTCAAGAACATTACCTATTTTTTCTCTGCATTTCCCCGCCAAGCACTAGAAAAATTACATTAGCTATTTAGCTAACAATTCCAAACAAAAACCTAAAACATGAATGACGGTGGTGAGGGGCATTTGAACAGTGGCACAGTGAAGAAGGAAAAAGTATTTTTGCTATTTTAAAGATGAATGGTGCAAAGAAATGGGCATTCAAAAACTGGCTTTGTAAAATCAACATGGTTACAGCAGAAGGCATTATGTGCTCTGAGGTAAAAATATAAATACTTAATTACAATGAAATGTTATAAGGTTTAAAGCTGTTCATTGTTGCTCTATAGTTGCTTGATGTTTGCGAATGGCCTGAACAGTACAATGAATGGCATTACATTATGTTGAGGGGAATTTTTTTTCCCAGAATAGCTTCAGTCAGTGCTGGCAACTTTACTATGGTTCCACTGTTGATTCATCCCTTCAATTTCTCACACATGCCTTAAGCCTTTCCTCAGAGGACAGTCTTACAGATGTCTCTGCAGTGCCTATGTTGGGAGAATCCTCTTTCTGGATCACTGGCTTTCAGGGCCCTTTTATGCTGCTCCTTCATTTTTATCTGGTGTAAAGGAACTGGAGCAAGGGTGAAGATCTCACCCTGCATCATGGGTGTAGCTATGGCCCACCCAACTAGCACCCAGGCTCACCAAAAGCTGTGGGAATGCTAAATTTAAGAAAATGTATTGACAGTTTGTTTTAAAAAGTGTATTTATTTTAACCATGCACCCTTTAAGGCAGCAGACCAGATACTAGAGAAATACCATATTTTTAAAATGAAAAACTTGAAAAACTTTAGCCAATCAAAGACAAAGTTACTGCGATGCAATATTTAGGTGGGATCTTCCCTCTTCTACAACAAATTACGTGCAAGTAGCGTTTCTCTGACAGGTTGCGAGGTACGTGGTACAAATCTGTTAGACGTCTCTAATGTTTCCATATATCAACTTCATTTTAAATGTACACAATGAGGAAATTCATAGTCTAATATAAATGATTTGCTGTGATTTCCAACCATTACTCACTGGTTGTCCACTCTAAGTTGGGGCCCAGTTAGCTATTACATTGCCTCATATGTACAAAGGCAACCATCAGATTTGTATTCAGTATGTAATAGTTACAGTAACATTTCAAGACAAGGAAATATTATGTAACATCTTGAAGAGACACAAGTATTTTCTTACTCCTTGTTTGTTTTTGATTCCTCACTGACATACTCTTAAAATACCCATTTTGGTTTTGGAGCGGATTAAGGAAAGTACTTATGTATGTGCACACATTTAAGCACAAGGGCAGTATTCTTTGCCTAAGTGAGACTGGTCATGTACTTAAAGTCATGTGCTAAATAAGGGCCTTAATGATTTTTACAGACATCTATAGAAGTCCTGTCACTGTAGAATTTGGCTGTGCTGATTACTACTTAGGAATGAGCAACACAATTCCCATTGGGAGGAAGCTGCTTCTTTCATTTTCTCTCTGGGAAATATTGGGGGGGGGGGGGGGGGGGGGGACAGATGGTGACTTATGAAGAACAAACTGATACAAAAATTACTGCCCATTGCTGCGTCCTCTCATAAGCAGAGATGATAACAGCCCTGCTGACACAGTGCAAGGAACAGCGTTTGTTAGTTAATTAGAATTCCACAAGCAGCTGGAGTCTAGATCATATGATACCAACTAAGGTGGCATAGGCCCAATCCTGCATCCATTGGGCCGGATCCTCCAGTGTACATTGAGCACAGCTTAGCTGCACAGGGTAGGTTAGTAAATATAATTTTGAGCCACCCTGCTTCCAGCCTAAAGATTGTTCTTTGCCTAGATGCCTAGAGTCTCAGGGACTGCAGCAATAAGGTATAGCTGATGACACAACCACGCAGGCCTGCCTCTTTGCTGGGGGACCAGGATAGGTGGCACAAACTCTGTTCTGGGGAATCCTCAGATGGCTATATCCACTGGCTTTGTGCCATCAGAGGACTGCAAAGCAGCTGGGCAACAAGCCTGAGATCTGACCCTTTGACTTCAATGATAGTCAAACCTTTATTACTTTGCAATGAATTTCCTCAGCTGGTTGCCTCAGTACTAGTTCCAGGAACTAGTCTGGGATAGGGAGGTGAGCAAATAGTCAGCTATTTGACTACCCGATAAGCAAAGACTACCTGATAAGCAAAAGCTTATCGGGTAATCAAGTGGAGTATTGATTACTCACTTGCCCTCCCCTCCCCCGCTGCCTCCATGAGCTCGTTTCCCCCAGCACTTTCCCCATGGTGCCATCCGCCTTTCCTGCTGCCTCTATCAGGGGCAACAGGGGGAAATGTACGGGAGGCTGCTCCAGCAGCAGCTTCTGTCCCTGGGGGGAAAGGGAGGGGAGGCTTCTCCAGCAGCAGCCTCTGTCCCTGGAGGTGCCTGCGTAGGCTGCTCCAGCCCAGGCTGGCTATAGGCAGTAGCTGCTCCAGCAATAGCCCTTGCCTGCAGCCAGCCCTGACCTTCAGGAACAGAGGCTGCTCTGGCACCAATCCCTGTTCACAGGAGACAAGGCTGGCCAGCATGAATAGGGGCTGCTGGACCCAGCACGAGCTGGTACTGCTCAGTCTGGGACACTGCGTCTCTGCATTTTAAATGTAGTAAGAGCCCAGTGAGCTACATTTAAAATGCAGAGCTGCAGCATGGGCAGCTCTTATTGACTAATCACGTAGTTGATACAAATTATATCAACTACACGATTAGCCAGATAATGGCAATTTAACATCCTTACCTGGGATCCATTCTAAAACATTTACTCTCCCATAGGGACACTGGTGTATATTAGACCAGCATTCATTAGGCCAGGCTGCCTTAGCAAATACATGTGTAGAGGGCTCATACCCCCCTGCCCACATATCACCATCTTCAGCTCTCTGGATGCAGTTGACACCCAGATTCTCCGAAGACTTCTGGTGTGAAAAGTCAACGATATGTTGAAAAGTGTAGACTTCCACATTGATGCACATAAAAAAAACCAAAATCACTCAAGTGGCTGGTGTGAGGCAGAGATAGGACCAAGGGGTTTGGAGCACGGGAGTGGACTCAGGGCAGGGGGTGAGGGCTCCTACTGAGGGTGCAGGCTCTGGGGTAATGCTGGGGATGAGGATTTTAGGGTGAAGGCTGCCCCAGGGAGAGAGAATCCCCCAGCCCTCTCTCACCACAGCAGCTTGGGGACAGGAGAGAGGCACCTCCCTCTCTTCGGGTCAGTGGGGCTGGGTTGTGGCTGGGAGAAGGGCCCACAGAGGCACAACTCTCTCCTAGCCACAGCAAGTCCGGAACAGGCATGTGGTGGGACTGGGTTACAGCTGAGGAAGGGGCACTTCTCCCTGGGCTGTGGTAA